GAAAATTTTCTCTTCTTTTCACCAATTAATTAAGTTGTCATTACAACCTTTCTCTTTTGCAAAATAATTTTGGACTTTTGAAGGATATTATACATCCTTCCTTCCATTTCTTTTTATTTTTTAATTAAAAAAAATAGTCTCCTTCTGAACTTTATTGATAAATTGTTCACTACAAGGAACAGAAAAGCGGTTCTTCATGATCTGTTTTCAAAGTAATTCTTGGAATTACAAACAATAACTTACTAGCTAATTAGTATTATAATTCTCTCAAAAAACATGAGGGGGAAAAAACAGAGATTAGTCGTGTTACTCGAACAAATTAAAGAAAAGTAAATACTTAGAAACAAGCGTATATAATTAGACCAAAAAAAATTACATACGTAGACAAATCTTTTCAACAAAAGAGTATGAATTAGAGTTTGGAAATCTATACATGAAAGGATTTAGATCTCGTAGAAATATTATAGAACTTCTGTATTTGTGAAGGAAACAAAAACTTCTTTAATTATCACACATATTTACCTGTCTAGTTGAGCAGTTAGTTAGCAGATCAAAACACACATGTCCATGATTCTTTTCCCTCTCGTATATAAAAGGTGATTTCTTTAATAATTCATACATAGAATGGTAAATTTCTTCAATAATTCATACATAGAATGGTAATCTTCTTTTTTTTTTTTAATTAAACTGCGCAATTATTTCCTCTTCAATAGATTATAAGAAAATATAATTTCCACCGTGGAGAAGGTAATTTACGTTATAATCCGTGATAAAATATTAATTGTACTATAATTCATATGTCGAATTTCTAGGGCACAAGTTGTGGGGTGGCCACCGGTCCGATCATTCCGAAAGAACATGTTGGCCGTCCAAAAGAGCAGCACCGATGAGAGTGAGACGGCGGCGATCAGCGGCGGGAGTGCAGTATTTGTGAAGGTTAGCATGGACGGTGCACCTTATCTCAGGAAGGTTGATCTCAAGATGTACAAGAGCTACCAAGAGCTCTCTGATGCCCTTGGCAAAATGTTCAGTTCCTTCACTATTGGTAATTATATTAACCTCAATACTGCCCTAAATATGAATAGCTATTTACTATTTAGTATATATTACTAGTTTTTGAAAATCACGTTCACAGAGCTTATTATTAAATTAAAAAAAATAGATATACAATTATATCTAACTGGTTAGAAAAATCAATTAAGCTGACTCTATATATTGCAATATGTATTTATGTAACATTAATTTTTTAGTATATATGTTCTATTATATGTCAACCTTGAGTTTAAGTTTCTGCCCACCGAAATTGTACCCAACCCAATAAGCAATTGATACATTTTTTTTTTTTTTGGGGGGGGTTATTAATTTTGTCTGGTTTTTCATTAAAGGTAACTGTGGATCCCAAGGAATGAAGGACTTCATGAATGAGAGCAAACTGATGGATGTTTTGAACGGCTCTGATTACGTCCCCACATATGAAGACAAGGACGGTGACTGGATGCTGGTTGGCGATGTCCCCTGGGAGTAAGTGAATTCATCAATCAATCATCTTCTAATCTTTTTTATTCAATTTCCTCAAATCAAATTTATGCTCTCTCTTTTTTTTTTTTTTTTTCTGTGGCTAGTAATTATCAAATCTCTGTTTCTTAAATTGTTTATTTATTTTGTGGGTCGACCTGCAGGATGTTCGTTGAATCATGCAAAAGGTTGTGCATAATGAAAGGAAAGGAGGCCGTTGGACTCGGTAAGTTTCTGCAAATTAAGCTAATTATAATAAAATCATTACGTAATTAGAAGATAAAATAAACCTATTACTCAAGCAATTACATTAATAACCGCTGGTATTTATACTTTGCATTTCTTAATTATATTATTTCTTTCCCTACAAGAATTATCAGTATTCTGTATTATACAAAATGAATACGGGACAACTTTAGTTAATTACTAAAACAATGCACTTCAAACTGCTTTAACATAATTTAACCTAGATATATACATAAACACATGATGATTTAATCAAAATTTTACTCGATATATAATAATAATAATAATAATAATAATAATAATAATATGAATTGTTGGTAATTTCAGCACCAAGAGTCATGGCAAAATGCAAGAATAGGAGCTAAATTACAAAGTGACCAATATGGCACGGCCTGCTCCTTTGATCTCGTCGCAATCGCTGCAATAAATGATAAAAGAACAAATTCAAAAAGCGTGAAGATGGATTGAGCAGGTTCTTAGGGTGTTTATCATGATCTGTATTAAATATTCAAATGGTTTGATATATAATTAATGTGAGAGATATTAATTTGAGTTTTTTCTTTTTCTTTTCTTTTTTTTTTTTCCCCTCTTTCTTTGTCATGGACAGAGACAATACAAACTCTTATGTTCCAAGATACTCAGCTTTATTAATGTCTTGCTTGCTTAGTGATATCTTAATGGTTTGTCTAATAATAATAAATGTGACAATGTTCTGGTTTGTTGTACTTATTGTGTGCCCTTATTGTTCCTTAGAACTTGTTTCTTCAATTCTATTAATTCCATTTTAACTAATATTATAACCTTATTTTCTCACTAATTGAAGTACTTCTTGCTTTATTGTTATCATCAATATTATTTATGTTTTTATTTCATGCTACTTAATGGTTCTCTTCATGGCATTCCTAAATTCTTGCTAAAAAAATCAACCTCAAGTCTCTAGTGTAGCAAAATCTTGACATGATATGACTAGCCATTTGTTTCTAGTTACCATAAACTAGAGCAAAGTATATTAACTGGGGATAGTTAATGATCATTCGTTGATTGAGGGAAGGGAACAATAACATGTGCATGTTATGGAGCATTTATACACCGTCAGTTCCTTTACTATTATCATTATTTTTTTTGTCTCTATAATTATTTCTTTTTTTATTATCATTGTTTTATTAGAAATATAACTCATGCAGGAACGAGAGTCCTTCTAATATTCTAACAAAATTATATATATATTTCCTTTTTTTTTTTTTTTGTTGGAGGGAAATCTCCAAAGTCTGTGTTATATAACAATCAACAAAACTTCCCTTAAAAAAAAAAAAAAAAAAAAATCAACAAAACTAAACAAAGTGGTTTGTCACTGTATACGTTTGAGAAGTGTGGGAACTACATCAATATATAAATGCATCTACACGTTTTGACCAGTGACAATAATGCAAGAACCACTTATAAATTATAATGCCATTGTAATTAATGCATGGTCGGAATTTTATGCCGGGTCAAGCGTGGTTGCTGGCGTATAATTAACTTGCACTTCTGCATGAAAATTATTGTACTAATTGCATTGTTTTATCATCAACCAGTGATTAAACAATCAATTTCTTCTTTCTCTCTCAAATCCTGCATCTGACAAAAATATATCCGGTGTCTATGACATTTCCATTAATGGAAATTGTCCGTTTTTAAAATAATATATTGCATATATAAAAGTAATATTAGTTTTGATAAAGTGAGTTCTTGGAGTGATATGATAATACTAGATTAACGTGACATATGAAGTGCAAAAAGAAAAGGGGGGGCAGAATCTTTAAGTTGACACTGTGTAATATGAGGAGACAGAGCATGCATGATAACATTTAATTGGGGAGAATAGATGATGTCAAATAACACCTAGAGAGATGAGCTTTCTTTCTTACAGCAATTATGGGTTTGTGGAGTAAACTCACTGTCGTATGTGTCTGTCACTAGGATGACACCCCCATTCAAAAGTCTTAGGATTCGGTCAACAACTGTTCTTTTTTTGTCCTTTTGAAGCAAAGTTGGCATGGTTGCACATTGCTTGACCATAATGCTTCCGCACAAAATCAATCAACATAAAAATAGAAAAAAGAACGCTAATATTTACTCCTTGCACCTCGTTTACTTTGCGGATTCGGATTTTTAATTTGAGTTGAAATGTTATATTTTTTTAGAGTTTTTTACTGTAGTAAAAAAAGTTAGATGTGATATTTTTTAAGAACTTTTTACTGTAGAAACATAAAACTGAAAACTTGAATCGGTGAAATGAACGAGGCCTAAAAATCCATGGTTTTTCTATTATACCTGTAGTACACGTTTCTGATTACAGAATCTGATCACATTAAAATAAAAAAAAATATGTAAAATAAATAATTTATAATATAAATATGTTGGCTGAAAAATAGAGATATGTCGTTAATTTATTTTTTTTCCAAGTTTATTACAGAAATCTTATAATTTTGACCTTGGCATGAAGGCTAAAGTGAAACGACTTAGTCGGACTTTGTTAGGAATAGTTGGAAGCATTGGTCTTTCTCTGGTCTTCAGTTACTCGCCTTTTTGGAGGTGTTCCTTGTATGACTTTCTCTTCTCTTTTGGAAAAGGAAAATAATGGTTTTTCTGCGTTGATGCAGTGAATAAGGGATGCTTGGCTAATGCAATTCAGCCTGATGTTTAAAAATAATCTTATAGGGAATGAGACTATGTAAAGATACTCAAAGAAGACCAATGCCGCCAATTCTCTAACAAAAAATGAGCCACACAGCATAGAACTTGCAATAGACCTCACTTATCCCTGGTGCTCAACACTAGTGATATTTTGATGTTTTACTAAAATATATTCAATTACTGTACTCGGAACAATATTTTAAGGAACATCTCTATTCATTCTGATAAAGTTAAAACCCTGCTATTCATATAAGATGAGTCCCACTGAGTGAGTAGGTGGGACCAACTATTTTATGAGTACGGGGTTTTATCTCCACGGGAACAAATATCACTTCTATTTTAAGCATAATCCAATCATGACCAGTAGATTCCACTAGTGTTAGACAAATCCTGTGCGTGAGTCTGTCCCACAATTCATGAGCAGCACCAAGTGCTGCGAAATTGCGAATACAACTACTATTACCTGTCTATGGGCAATTTTGTGCAAAAACAGTCATGATGGAAATAGTAATGCAAAATTACTACTAGTCAGCAATACGATAAAACTGAAAGTAAAATTGCCCACAACCTTTATATATATTATTAAGCATAATAGTTGCAACATTGAAGCCGTCTTCCAAGCATAGATGAATCAAATATGACCAGTTTAGTGTCCATGGATTTAGCATAAAACAATAAAATTAATATGGAAATTTGACTTCTGGTTTATCGTCTTCCATCACTTTGCGTGACCTTCATTTATTGGTTTACGCAACAAGTTTCACCTTCAGAAGTCAACTGATCTGATCACTAAATCCGCTTTCCTTTTTGATTTCATTATAAGCTCTGCATTGGGCCGGTCATTGTACTCTATCTGTCACATATAATACTTAGAAGTCACGATTTGCTCGCAGGAGTTGATACACTAGAATAAAACTTAAAAGCTAAGAGAATAAATAAATAAATAAATATGAGGCTTACCCTCCATTTAGCAACATCTGGAGGTTTTCCAGTTGAGATATGTCTCTTTACTACTCGCTGCATAGCTTTGTCGATGTCGATCTCAATGAACCTTGAAGATCGAAGAAAAAATGGAATATTCAGCAAAAGCAACATCTTAGAATAACTAGTAAAGTTTGCAAAACGAACCCTTTGGATACAAAAGCCTTATAAGAATCCAACTCTTACCATTTCTCATCAAACAAAGCTGATATTTCCTTCCAAGTACCATCTTCCAAAAACAAATAATTTCCTTCTACTATAACCACTTTGTGCCTGAAAAGAGAGAAATTTAACGTGATAGCACATCATAGACTATAACTTGGAAATAATTAGAGTTCCATGTTGCTGTGTTTCTGAAAAGATTAATGATTGAGCCCAAATAAGTTTGAATTCCCAAGTTCTTTTGTATTTTCCAACAATTATGTTTATCCAAAACATGCTTGCTAGTTGTTCCAACGTCCAAACTAAAAATTCAGGTTAAATGCACAAATTACTTACTCAAGGCTCACAAAGATACCATCTTCCACTGGATCTCCAACACCATGGTCAAATGAAGGTGCAGAAACTGATCCCTGAAAAAAATTTACTTTGAGAATGGACAGACATATCAGTAAACTTCAGCTTGCAATCTCTCTAGAAAAGAACTACCAAAAAGTTCTTGACATAAAAATGGTAGTCATTTATGTGGTAATAGACAAAATCTGGATTTGTAAAATTTAAGTAAGATCACTGCAAGTTAATCACCCGATTTCTCAGAGTCTTGAGGCATGTAAGCAGTATCTCAGGGTTAAATGTCCACGGAGCTGGATTCACCAATGAGAAAGATTAAAACTTTCCGCGGTTACAAGTTCTTGAGTGACTTCTATCAAAAAATAAATAAAAAAAATAGTTCTCGAGTAATTGTACTCCAAGATATAGAAACCACACCTCCCCTTCTTGCATGGGCTTCCTCTGGATCCTAGGTGCAAGAACGTGAAAAACAATTAGAAGGGACAAAAAGATTGTGAATGATCGAGAAGGTTATTCAATGGATGCATGTGCTTAGCATATTGATTCATATTCAGCCAAACATATGCATATCAGAGGCAACAGGTAGACAAACAGAACACAGACTATTCTTCAAAGACAAACCGTAAATTCTAGGCAATGTTCCCTAATACCGACACTTGCCAAATTATACGACTGAGTCAGGTCCAAAATTCTTGCAATTTTGTATTTGAATACTTCTTAGAACCTAAGCTAAGGCTTATCACAATGAGATATCCAATAACTATACTGTAAATATGATGGGGAAAAAAATAGAATATTGAAACGAAGATAAACCTCCATTGCATCCAGCTGGGAACGATAAAGATGGAATCCGTCCATCGGAAGAACTGTAGCAACATTTAGAGGCTTAACTTGAGAATCCAACGAAGAAGCCTTTTGCGGCCACAACTCGTTTAACCGCTGCACTACTTCGGATGCTAGAGTGGTCTTTCCAGAGCCGGGGGGACCAGCCAAACCAACAATATATCTGCATGACATTTTCAGTTAAAGATTCTTACCTAAATTACTCCAAATACAAAAAGCGAAATTTCGAATATTAAGCTCTCAACTACGACAGAAAGTGATCCAGTTACTGCAATGTGACAAAAATTTGACATGTTTTGAGCTGATGAGAACCTAGAACTTACTTGTAATCGGGATTCGCTGTTACTGCCGCTGTTGGAAGAAGACGCGAAGCTAACGCGTCGTATATCTCATCAATAGACCTTCAAAAACAGAACATTCATATTATCAGTTCAAGCATTTTTGTCAATTCAGATATAAACTAAAGACTAATGGAAAATAGCTTTCGAAACTAATGAGGATGACTTGGTATATATACCTGCCCTCTACTATAAAAGCTTCCTTTTTTATACAAGAAATAACCTGTAACAAACAAGAGCAGAAGATATCAAACAATGCTGGATAAAGAAAATAGAAAATAGAAAATAAATAATTTGAACAAATAAATACCTTCACAAAGTTATTCTTCCGCGAGAGAGATACAGCCTGACCAAACAACGCTTGTTCAATTCTTTTGGTTTGAGAAAAGGAGATTGAATATTGATCCCATTGAGAAAGTTTTGATCTTTTAAGCAGCAAAGAATCTGCATATAGATAAACCAAATTTTTATTTTTTTTAATTACAAAACTTAGTGACGGAGGAAAAAAAAATAAAAATTGATACAAACATTTTTTTTTTTTTACTAGAAAATTTGTTTGATTGCTAAGTATGTACAAAAGGAAACCAAAAGGGAACATAAAAAATTAATAAACACGCGCAATTATACCGAAAAGTGAAAATACACTAGCAAAATCCATGTATTAAACGCGCAAACAATAACAAGCAAACTAAAATTTCGACTTTGAAGAAGCAGCAGATTAAGCAGCAAGAATATAGTAAAAACTAATAATAATAAATTAAAACAATAACCTTTTTTATATACAAAGAATTGAATTAATTGGGTAAATTAAAATTATATAGTGAAATATGAATGAGAGAAAGAGACCTGGTGAAAAAGAGCCCAAATAGCTTTTTGCTGTTGCCGAAGACAGAGTGATCTCCATGGCCAATCAGAGACAATAGAAGAAACAGACAACGAGAACTCAAGTGTGTATGTATTTAAAAAAATAAATAAATAAATAAAAATCAGAATTCGGAAAAACGGAGGGAGTCTGAGCAAGACGCTGAAAGTTTTAGGGTGATTTTGACACGTGGCCGAATAACAATTGTAGAATTGAAATATTTGCTCAAGTTTTGAGAATATCTCATACAAGACTTGGATTCGTTTGGTTGGAGAATTCAAATTATGTGATTCGAATCATTTTTTATTTATGTGTATTTTTTATAAGAGAAAATACTGTAACGAACCACGAATTATAATTCGAATCAGGGAACGAATTTCTCTACCAAACGCCCCCTTAATTGTATAATAATATTTAAATAAAGTTCTATGAATTAGATTATTAACTTTGTAATAATACAACTATTTTAAAAAATTCAAATCCCAAAAATAAAGGTCTCGTTCATTTTACCGATTCGAGTTTTTAGTTCTAGATTTTTATAATAAAAAGCTCTCAGAAAATATCACATATAACTTTTTCTGTTATAGTTAAAAACTTTCAAAAAATGTCATATCTCAACTCGAATTAAAAACTCAAATTCACGAAGAAAGTAATTATTGTTAACGCTCTACTTTTTTTTTTACGATTTGTGAGATATCTATCTGTTTTAAGAAAATTAAAATCCCAAAAATAAATTGATGTAGCAACAACATCTATTGTAAGTATTTTCACTGTACGATGATTAATTTTTTTTTTAAAATATAATATAGTAAAAATTACTTTTGATTTTGTTATTTCATTCAAACATGTACGAGAAGTATAAGGGAAGAACATTAATGACTTGTTCTTTTAGACCAAAACTCAAAAAAAAGTTGAACTCAAATTACTACGGGGTTATTCTTTTACATTTTTGAGTTAAGTATTCTTGAGTGAAGATCTTGAATTGAGTTTCAGTTATAATTTAAATTAAAATTGTAACTTGAGTTTGTGTTTAGTTATTTACATTTGAGTTATGGTTTGAGATAAGAATCTTTTTGAGTTTGTGTTTGAGTGAGTCAAAACTTAAATTTATATTTAGATAGTATTTTATTAAAAACTCAATGGTGATGGAAAATTTTAATAGGGTATATAGGTGGGGTTTTATTCGTCTTTTCGTTGTCAACGCATAAAAAAATCATCTCAATCAGAAGTAAAACGAAAAAGTTATAATATTTTTAATAATAGAAAAAATATTGTTCACTAATTTGAGTTCGAGTTTCTGAACTCGAGTTGAAGGAAAAATTTAAACTCGGGTTTTAACTTAAATAAAATTGTAACTCGAATTGTCTTTTTTTGAGTTTTATTGGCTCCCGAACAACCCCTTTTGATGTTTTACAATTGATATTAATATGGGTTGTTTTATTACATTATAATTAATATTACATTAGTTTAATGATGTTCTATTTTAATGATATATTAGTACCTTAATGATGTTATATTACATTATAATTGATATTACATTATATTAATGATGTTCTATTTTATAATTAATATTAAGATGGGTTGTTCTATTGCATTATAATTGATATTACTTTATATTAATGATGTTCTATTTTAATGCTATGTTCTATTAGAATGGATTGCGGTGCGGTGGAAGAGAAAATTATGACAGTTAATTATAAATAAAAAATGCCCAACAAAATAAATGGAAGGATATATTTGGGATGTCAAAAAATATAATTTTAAAAAAAACCATATATGTGATATTTGGAAAAGTAAGCCACATTTTAATTTAACTCTAAAAAAAAAAAAAAAAAGTCACGTCTTGTAATTTTTACAAAGTTGTATGGTTGGATTCTCTGTGGCTCTGGGCTCTGGCTTCTTTTTCTTCTGGGCCCGGTTCTCTCTTTTTTAATAATTAAATTAGATAGCATTTGAGTTTTTAATTTAAGTTGATAAGAATTTTTAACTGTAATAAAAAAAATTATATGTGATATTTTATGAGAACTTTTAACTTTAAAAACCTATAACTGAAAATTTGAATCGATGAAATGAACGATGCCTAAAATAAACCTCGTCGATTTAAATTTTTAATTCGAGTTAAAATATAATTTTATATGAGAGTTTTTAAATGTAATAACAAAATTAAATGTAACCTTTTATAAGAGATTTTAACTGTAATAAAATTAAAATTAAAAATCTAAATTTATAAAATAAATGATACCTTAATTTTCAAATCAAATTATTAAAAAAGTCACATTATGCTTAAATTTTAAAAATTTTGATATATCTCAAATTCACTAATTTTGCTCTTTTTTTAATGGACTTTACGTGTGATTGTAAATGGAGCCCGTTTGGTTGGAGGATTCGTTCTCTGATTCGAATCATGGTTCATAGTTCGTTACAGTATTTTTTCTTATAAAAAATACACGTAAATTAAAAATGATTCTAATCTATAAATCAAACGAGTTTTAAGTGTTTATGTTGACACGTGGCTCCACAAAACTACTTTTAAATTTTATTTTGTATCGTCCGTTCATACATAAAGATAAGGATAGGCAGGCTTTAAAAAAACTTTTTGTTAACTTTTTTGTTTGTTCGTTTCGATAGAAAAATTGTTTTCCGCATCCATTAAACTATAGAAGAAATTCTAGAAGAAACTTCGATTGTTTAATAAACATGAAGCCTGAAGGAGAGTTGTTCAGTTTATACGACATTTGGGGAAGTTCTCGTAGTTTTATTTCTTTTGGGTTACATTTACCTTTTAATCGTAGTTTAATAAATTATCTCTTAAATTTTTAATTTTAATAAATTATTCTTTTAATTTATAAATTTATTATAATATGCTCTATTTTAACGACGATTGTGTTAAATTAGTATTAAAAACACGTTCAGTTAAAAATTTTAAACATTTTAATTCAAATATAACACAAATCTTTTAATATATCAACTTTTAATCTCTTAAATCTAATAAAAATTTTGAACTAGTTTAGTTAAATGGGGTACATTGTAATAAATTTACAAGTTTAAGAGATAATTTGTCAAAATTAAAAATTTTAAAAATAATTTACTAAATCACAACAAGTTCAAGGATAATTGTGCTAAAAACTCTATCCTTTTTATTCAGCTGATTTTCGTTGCATCACCTTATTGTCATTTTTCAAGGTAATGTCGTTCCAAATTTCATTGTCGTTTCAGGCTATTATCAGGCTGCTGTCGTTTTTAAGTTGATGCCTTTTTTTACTTTGTGCTCGGCTGGTTGCTTTATTTTTAGTTGTCGTTGTCAGGTCATTGTAGTTAATCATTATGTTGTCGTTTTTAAGCTTTTCTCCGTGTTCAATAATACTAGCTATTTACCCGCGCGCGGCCGTGGGATATAATATCCTATTATAAAAAAAGTTAAAATTTTTACAGTACAGAATTACTTACAAAATGGATTCATGGCATAATTTAAATCATAATTTATAATTTATTACAGTATTTTTTTATAAAAAATACACGTAAATTAAAAATAATTTTAAATTATGATTTTAAATTCATTATCTAAACGTGATGTTATATATTTTAATTAAAAGTTTCTTACATTATATCCTATTATAGAAAAAAAAATTTTGCAGTACAACTTAATATATATATATATATTATATTATATTTTAATTAAAAGTTTCTTACAATGTTTTGGAGCTTTTCTTCTGTTTTTTCCTTCTGCTCTCTTCAGCTACAACGTATAAATTTAAGTAAAATTAATAATAATAATTGAGGATGTTGGAAATCTTTAATTATATTTAAAAATAGTTGTATTACATGATTGTAGGATGTTTTCTAGATGCCTGTTATTTTTGATTCAATAAAAAATTATTAACATGTGTATTCAACATAGTATTTTATGTTTTTTTATTAATAATTGATATAAGTTAATAAGTGTTTTATTTTGTACTTAATCTTTTTTAAGTCTGGTGTTTTTAAATATCCGATGATGAAATCATTGTTCATTCATAATCTGAAAAAGTCTGGTATTTTTAAATATCTGATGATGAAATCATTATTCATTCATAATCTGAAAATTCTTGCTATGATAGTTATAATGTTTGGTGGAGGGATTCGTTTCCTGATTCGAATCATGATTCGTGATTCGCTACAGTATTTTTTTTCATAAAAAATACACGTAAATCAAAAATAATTTAAATCACATCATTTCAATCCTCCAACCAAACGTAGTTGCATAAATGAGTGTTGTCATTTTGCCTAATTCTAAAAAATAATAAATAATTATTTAGTATATGAATGAACAATTTTATTGAATACATATTACAGTAAGAAAGTGAGAAAGAAAGAAAAAAACGATATAATAACTATTTCAGAGAAGAGCAGAGGGGACCAAAAAGAAGGGCGGGAAAAAAAAAAAAAAAAAAAAAAAAAGAAACCAGACTATTTCTTTTTCCCCAAATTTTTTCCATATTTCAGATAATTTTAAAAAAAAATCACCAATTAAATTAACACATGGAGTAAACACCGTACAGACGATCAGGCTAGGAAGACAAATCATCACAGATCATCAACTCGTTACATGCAGGGAACAAATCCAGATTTATCTGCAGACGGCGTGAAATCAACGAGAGAAATAAATAATCAAACAATCTACATAAGAAACACTTTCTAGACAAATCGATAATTAGGAAAAGAGAATAAAACCTCTGTTCATTTCGCTGATTCGAGTTTAGAATTTAAGTTTTGTTACAGTAAAAAATTCTCACAAATAATCACATCTAATTTTTTTATTACAGTAAAAAATTCACATAAAATCACATCTCAACTCGAATCAACGAACTAAACGGGTGTGTTTGTAAAAAATTTTGGGAAAACCCTAGCTATTTCCCAATGGGAAAAATTACAAAAAGAACTTTAAAAAAAGAGCACAGATAAAGAATTAAAACGAAACAATAAAGGGGAAGAATCAAACACAACATGTTCACTTCAGGGGAAAAAAAAAAAACAGCAAAAATGAAACGAAAAACCCAGACCCAAAAATATCAATCTTAAAAAATTTAAACAAATCGAGCACAGGACAAAAAAAGGGAATACATATAGGGACCAAAAATTAAAAAAAAAAAAAAAAAAAAGGGGTTAAAAAACGCGAACCACAGAGTTTGCACTCTGCCAAAAGCACGAAGGAAAGCATACCACAAACCCAAACCAAAACATCATAGCGGCCAAGAATAGAGAAAGCCTTCATCAAAGCCACGACGAAAAAACCCACACAAAATCACAAAGCAGAGCCACAATAAAGCAGAGAATCAAAGCTAGGATTTCCACCGAAATGAGAATGAGAAGAGCGGCCAGGAGAGAGTGATCGAAGAAGCTCAAGACAGGTAAGTTTTTATATGAAACATTATGACCGAAAAGCCCAGAAAAACATCACATGGATCAATTAAGACCTGAAGGTAGTATTGTACAATCAGAGCACAACTTAGTCAAAAGACCAAAAGCACCTGACCAGGGAAGGAGCACAATGGGGAAAGAAAAAGGGCAAATGGAGCAATTCACAATAGAAGGTCAAAGTTCGTATTTCACTGTAGTAAACAATGAATACGTGAGTGTATAAACAGTGTTTTCAGGGATTCTTTTAGTATATTTATAATGTCGCCGCTGTTATTTTTAGTTGTCGTTTCCGAGTTATTGTGCCTTATCAGATTTCTGTCGTTTTTTAAGTTGATGTCGTTTCAAAGTTTATGCTCTCTTTTTATTATGCTATCGTCCATATCCAGATGATTTTCGTCTTGAGCTTTGTTACTAGTAATCTTGTCAATCTAATTGAAGCAGCAACAATCATGAAGTTCTTACCTACTCAACTTTTGCAACCAATAAACTTAGAGCTAATCAGATATACCATCGGAAAACCTTCCCTTCAAAATTTTTCTTAAAAAGCACAAAAATTTTATTGAAACTTATCGACAATTATCCGTTCAGACAAAAATTTTGAAGCTGACAGCGATTCAGCTACTCAATTTAACCTCAAGAATAAGCCGTATGAACTTGAATACGCATAGTTCAATTCAATTTCACTATTTCTTGGAGTCCAGATTCATCACAGATTCCCAAGCAACGACAAAAATATATTTTAGTGAACATTTATTTCATGAGTTCAGAATTATGATTCAAAATCATTCTATATTATAACGAGCTACGAATTATTATTCAAACTATGACACGAATACTTACATCTTGCTCCAAACGCAGCATTAGATTTTCCAAAACGAAAAAGAAAGAAAGACATTTAGTGCCAAGGTGTGAGTGTGCGAAATGATTGCTCGAGCCTTGAGCCGTTAAAAATTGACTGACCTGGGTATTTTTTAGCATAAACATCAAACAAAAAAAGATGCAGACGAAGACATGAAGTAATACAGATTTTTATTTGAAGATGAGTTTGTATAATATCACAAGTTCCCACAGTTAATTTGTTCGGAACTAAACAATGGTTTGGTGATGAACGGCCCATCCTGTTCTTCATCATAATAAAATCCTTGGTTACAGGGGCACACGGCCATGGTAAAGTAATAGCACAACAAACAAGAGATTGCACCATGTTTACAGCAAAGAAATATTCAGAATCCATGTAATCAGCTTACAATAACATTACATTTCCGGCTTTCGATCCTCCGCTTTTTATCATCATCAAACGACTGCAAAAGAAAGAAGACTAAAATGTCATACAAACTAGAATAGGAGAAAATATCGCGAGATTACAGGACTTAATCTGTATTAACAGTTTAACAACAAATTCAAGTTTGAAATTTTACCTGTGCGCTGAGATAGTGTGGAAGCCGAACTCTCTTTGAGCCATCACCAAAACGTTTACACAGTAAAACGTTTTCCACAGCCTCATTACGATTATTGACCTACAATCAAAAACCAAAGTTCAATTTGAGAACGATTGGTAAGTTTTGGTCCCCTGAAACAAAAGGATATATATATAAATATATACGATTTGATTTTACTTTTAAGATTAAGAAAACTTGTTGGGTATATAAATATCAAACAAAACATAATACATTTAGTTTTAGCCTAGAGAAACTCTCTAAAGCACTGGTCATGGTTGCAAAGTAGCAAGACTAAAAAATCAAACTTTTACCTGACACTGAATAGCCCCAATTAACAATTCCTCACAACCGGACGCATGTACACTTTCTAAGTTGGGGCATTGAAGTAACAATCTCTCTGAAGATACAGATACACTATAATTATTGACATTCATACACGAACTCGAAAATACAAAAAGGATAATGTGCGGAAATCAATTCAAGTACCTGGATGTAAGTTCCTACAAGAGTTTAGATTAAGATCATTGAGTTGTGGACAGTTCAGATACAGAGCCTGCATGTCGATTCTCAGTGTAAGACTCCCAAGAAAAAAAAAAGGTACATAAACATAAACAATTTTGACTAGTTAAGTTTTAGAATCTCACGTCCAAGCCAGAACAGCCCCACAAGCTTAGTTTTATTAATCGGCTATGCTTAATTATCAGCTTCTGGTGAATAAGCTGCACTTTAGCGTTAGATGTTTTCTGTAATTCACAGTCACTGCTTTCTTCTTCAGTAGGACTGTTGGGATCACAAACGGTCATGCCACAGTCCATAAGTTCAAGAAGAGGCAATTGAGCCGTGGCAAATTGAATACCACCTGCAAAGGATTAAAAAAAAGGAAATGTTAAATTTAGAATCAATAAACAAAAGACAACATATTTGATAATGCATCGATCTTAAGAGTTTTGACTGGGTAATTACTTGAAGTAATGTTAGGACAAAGAGCAACAAGGAGCCTTGTAAGAGTATCTGGGAACACATTGCAGATCATTCCAATCCCACTATCAGTGATGCCGGACCTAGAATTAAAGCAACGCATAAAAATAATATCTCAGAATCAGCTAATAGAGAGAGATGTCATTTTGAACTAGAGACTTGTCTCAAAATCAATATATACATATATATATATATACATATGTATGTATATATTTATATTTTGTACATTAAACTTAATATTGAATCAGCTAAATAGAAAAATTATTTTTAAGGACATGCGTGAATTGAATTTTCCATTTGCAACATACCCACTAAGGTCAAGCAGCTCTAAGTCCGGATAACTTGAAGCAATGGCAGCAACTGAAGCATCAGTGATTTCAGATCCAAGAACAAGTGAAAGCATTCTTAACCCCCTATTTATGGATAAACAACCAAAGACATTAGACATTTTGGTGCTATTTATGCATAGTTCAAAGAAGTAAGACATATAATGACAATTGCCAATGTATTTAATTCACTACACCGACCTTAACTGGGCAGCTGTAAGGGCAAGTACAGCAGCATGGGAAAGCCTAACAGAGGCAATGTGGATGTTTTGCAACCTTGGGCAATTCCTCCCCAAATAGTCAACCATGGTAATAAGGTCAGTGTGGTCATTTTCTTGGCGAGAAAATTCTAAAGAAATCTCCCTCAAATAGGGGCAATTAAAAACCTATGCCAAGGAAACGTGATTAAGTAAGAAGCCACTCCAGCAGAAAGAAAAGGACATGAAAGTAAAATCAAAAGAGCACAAGAGACAAAAGAAAGATGTAAAGTAAATAAAAGACAATCACCATCTTAGAGTGAGATGAAAGATCTGAAAGCCAGAGTGTAGAAAGACTCGTTGAACAGAGAACAAACCCCCCCAGATGAGAACATCCTTCCATCTTAAGACTTTTCAGCATTCGTCTATCGGAAACGAAACGGCCCAGCTCATCACTGCATTTTAAGTCAAAAAATTGACATAACCCAATCATCGTCAAGACTTTCTTAAATTTAGTCCAACCATTATTCTCTAAAGCAACGCATCAAGGAAAAAAAAATATAAGTTCACATTGAAACCCAATCAAATAGCAACAGGAATAAACATAGATAAAGGGTAGTTATATCCAAACAATAAGAAAATTGATTTAAACAGTTAGATCAAGAGTTTTTCAGAAGATAAAAGGGACGAGGTCAGATATTTACCCAGTGATCCGATTGAGTGCAGTATCAGATGTAGAGATCTCCATAAATCCAAGATTTGGGCATGAAAATGCAATACAAGCCAGCATCGTCGCGTCCACATCACTGCATCAGTCAAAATAAAACATGGGAATCCACATCAATTATTTTGTTTTGCAAAACAAATCCTGATTGATCAGCTTAAGTGGAATTATTTTTTCTTCAATTTGTCAATTACCCAAGTCCAAAACCTAGAAATGTCGCCATTATCAATCAGCATTTGCCAAACACTGTTCTAGATGTGAATCTCTTGCCCGTCTGGTAATAGATCGAGCAATTTGAGACCATTTCTTGTTTTTATTTTCGGATCAAACCCTAGTTCGTTGTTCCTTTCATTTTTTCTTTACTATTTCATTAGAAAACAGTTCAGATCTCGTTCGTTCTCTTGATTCATCAAGTTAATCATTAAATTTCGTCTCAAAAACCACAACAGTCGAAGAAAACACCAGATCTGCGAGATCAAGTCCGATCAGAGAAGCCCTAATACCTTTCCATCCTAAGAGAGAGGCTCACGAGCGCCGGGCACTTGTGCAACACAGATCCAACAAGCCCGACCTGAGCCCTCGGCGGAACCCTAAGCCTCAGCACCTCCGCCGCCTTCCACAGCCTCCTCGCCGTCTCCCTCCACCCCTTGCACACCTTCGCCGCAGACAACAGCCCCGACGGCGGCAGCCTCCTCAGTACCTCCCAGACGCAGCTCGCCGGCAGGCCTCCGGAGACCGGATCGGACTCCATCTCTTCCATCGTCGCTCCGAAACCGTCTTCTTCATCCTCCACCTCCTCCTCCGGCACGTCGAAACCGCCGACATTGTCCACGTCATCGAATGACAACGCCCTACGAAGGTGGGAGTAGGGCTGACGCGGCGGGGGAGGGCGGGTGGAGGACATCGAGTACTGAGCGGAGACATCGGCGCACGCATCAGTTGGGGTTGTGGCGGCGCTGCTGACGTGGCAGGAGTGGCCCTTCTTGGGGAGTCCGCATCGGCCGCAGTTGTAACTCCCACGCTTCTTGCCGCTCTTGAACTCACTGAAGGTGGAGGCGGGAGTGACGGCGGCGGCGGAGCCGGCTTGTCCGCTGCTAGGCGTGGCGGCTCCGCCGTCCGAGAAATGCAACTGGTGGCGGCGATAACTCTCCATCGGTGGAAGAAGCAGATTGGGCGAGAAGACAGAGAGAGAGATAGGGCAGAGATAGAGAGAGAGAGGGGTTGAGAGAGCGTTGGAAAGCGAAAGAAATAGAGGTGGGAAGAGCGCGGGAGATAGACTGGGGTTTCGCGCGCTGTGTTTGAACGATTAAAATAAAATTTAAAAAAAAAAAGGGAACAAAAAAGTGTGATGAGCGTGCCGTATATAATGAAGTTACGGATTTGACCCTACTTAGGTTGTTGGAAATGAAGGAGAGGCTTGATCGTTTTTGTCAAATTGGTGGGCCGATCATTTTTGTCTTGAAATTAAGGACTGTGTTTTCCCGCGTTTTAATTGGTTTTCGCGGATTTATTTGTTGTCAGGGACCAGCCGGCGGTTCAATAGGACATTTTGTCAATTAAGAGAAGGACTTATTTTGTTGGAATTATTTCTATTTTATGGAATGAGTTTGAATTTGGAATCAAAATAGATTTTGGGCCCGTTTAGTTCGTTGATTCGAGTTTTTAATTCGAGTTGAGATGTGACTTTATGTGAGAGCTTTTTACTGTAACAAAAAAGTTAAATATGATTGTTTCTGAGAGCTTTTTACTGTAGCAAAACTCAAACTCTAAACTCGAATCAGTGAATGAATGAGACCTTTATGAGTTTAGTATTCATCATGGGAAAAAATTCGACATTTATGGTTTTTTTTTCTTTTTGAAATGGAGGGAACAAAAAAGTGTGATGAGCGTGCCGTATATAATGAAGTTACGGATTTGACCCTACTTAGGTTGTTGGAAATGAAGGAGAGGCTTGATCGTTTTTGTCAAATTGGTGGGCCGATCATTTTTGTCTTGAAATTAAGGACTGTGTTTTCCCGCGTTTTAATTGGTTTTCGCGGATTTATTTGTTGTCAGGGACCAGCCGGCGGTTCAATAGGACATTTTGTCAATTAAGAGAAGGACTTATTTTGTTGGAATTATTTCTATTTTATGGAATGAGTTTGAATTTGGAATCAAAATAGATTTTGGGCCCGTTTAGTTCGTTGATTCGAGTTTTTAATTCGAGTTGAGATGTGACTTTATGTGAGAGCTTTTTACTGTAACAAAAAAGTTAAATATGATTGTTTCTGAGAGCTTTTTACTGTAGCAAAACTCAAACTCTAAACTCGAATCAGTGAATGAATGAGACCTTTATGAGTTTAGTATTCATCATGGGAAAAAATTCGACATTTATGGTTTTTTTTTCTTTTTGAAATGGCAATTATGGTATTTTGATAGGACACAGATATTATACGTTATTTTGGCATTGTTCATCTCACCGATTCGAGTTTTCAGTTTTAAATTTTTACAGTAAAAAGCTATTATAAAATATCACATCTAACTTTTTCTGCTACAGTTAAAAGCTCTCAAAAAATGTCACATTTCAGCTCGAATTAAAAATTTGAATCCACGAAGTGAACGATGGCAAAATTGATTACTTTAAAAGTTCACATTTTTTGCCCAAAAAATGTAGCGTTTTAAGTTGAAAAAAAAAAAATAATTGTACAAAAATATTTTGTTGCCTGCAAGGATGTCTAGGATTCTCCCTACTAGTCCCATGGCTTGAGATAAGCAATTAAAAATTAAACAAACTAATTGTTTGCTTTTTATCGTAATTGAAGACTTGTATAATAGCAATGAACAATGTCGGGATCTTTGAATTAATCGGTAGTAATTATCATTAAGAAAATAAAAATAAAAAAAAAACATCTTAACTTAGTCGACACTCTCGTTTACGTGTATTTATTGAAAAAAAAAATATTGGAATTAATTAACTAATGATCTCGACATGTTATAATTTTTTTTTTTAAATTTAAAATTGCTATCGTTGATTCAAAGCATTGTAATTTATTATTTGTACTTCCCACAATTAGGACGATTGAAATTTGGCGCAATTATATTTTTTGGGTCACCAAAACTTTATAAGTTATACTGTTGTGAGTGAAATGGATTTATGTAGCTTTATTATTTAATAAATATATAAAAAAAATAGAAATTGTGTCTTTATATGTGCATCAGATTATAACATTCAACCATCTATGATTTTACAATGTATTGTTATTATCTATATTAATACGTCTTGGCGCTACTTTAGCCATATCTACTTGTTTATCTCAATGGATAGTAACTAAACATTAGACACATTTAACGTCCTAAAAGTTAATCAACAACAAAGTTGTCCACCTTCAATTTATTATAATTATAGTTTGTTAAGGATATGCCTGTCACGCCATGTTGTATTTCTATGATATTGTTAAAATATGGTGTTTGGCTTCGTGTATTTTTTTTTATATAATACGGGATCAAACCCGCGACTTATCTCAAACCATATCACACTCAAATCCCCTCGTGCTAATAGACTAAGTGGTCTAATTAGGCGGCTTCATGTGCTATTGAGTGGGGAATGGGAGTGTATTACATTGTACCATGTTTGTTTTTCTATTATATATTGCTCGATGACAACCTCAATCTTAACCCAACACTTACCTTAAATGTCGGTTTTGGACCTCGTCCCCAACCCTGGTATTTGATGTTTTAAAAATATTTTATATGTTGTTAATGAAGTCTGTGAGTTACTATCAAATTCCTATGTTGTTATAAAATAATACATTAAGTATTATTATGACGTATCAAACATGCCTTAAAATTGTTACTCTATCCCCTTTTATGCTTGTCTTGCTTCTTAGAATTTTGTTTTTAATTATAATTTGATGCAAAATGTTTAAGAATGCTTCATTTACACCCTAATAATTATAATCTAAGGCCCAATTCACTTCGCGGATTTAAATTTTCAATTCGAGCTGAGATGTGATACTTTCTGAGTGCTTTTAACTGTAGCATAAAAAGTTATATCTGACATTTTCTGTGAACTTTTAGTTATATAAATTTATAACTGAAAAGTTAAATTAGTGAAATGAACAATGCCTAAATTTTACACAAAAATGTTTTAAAGGAAATTTATTCATCCTCTTTTTTTCACTTCTAATTATACCTATTATTTCACTTTTTTTTTTTTTTTACTAGAATCCATCATGTCAAAGTTAAGAACTCAAGTAATCAAAAATAGGATACAATATTGCTGTATAGTTTATATATTTGAAGGAAGAATATATATATATATATATATATATATATATATATTATATGGACACACATTTTGCATAAATAGACAGATTAATAAAAAAATAATAATAAATAGGCAAACCGTAAAAAAAAAAAAAGGATTATGAGCAATGATGGAGCTTCTTCGGGTGGGGGGGGGGGGCGCGGGAAGGGGGCCATCGCCCACCCTAATTTTTTTTTAATATAGTGATTTTAATTTTACTATAATAGGTATGTGTATAAATTAGTTTTATTTAATATAGTAATTTTAATTTTATTATAGTAGGTATGTGTATAAATTTGACTTTTTCTCTCCTCCTTTTCCTCCCTTAAATTAGTAGTTCTCTATATTTTATCAGTCAAACCAGATTTTAAAAATAAAAGGGTTATACATAAATGTCTACTAAGAACACTTTAAATATAAAAATGTCTACTATTTCGTTTAAAATATTAAAGTTAAGTAAGTCTATAAACATTAGTAGGCCTAGTGGCTTGTAACAAAATCTAACAATTTTTCTTCTCTTTTTTTTCATTTATAATCTTAATTTTTTTCACTTCTATTTCATTGTTTAATTTAGGAAAACTTTGCATTAGTGTACTTCAAAGTTCAAACGTAATCAGGTTATTACTCTGTTTTTTGTTGTTGTTATTACTAACTAAGTTATTTTAGTTGGATTTTATACTTAAATTGTAAAATAGAAACTATAATTTTCTATTAAAAAAAAGTTGGCTTAATGACATATATGTGTATAGTTTACTAGATTTATATAGTGTAGTTTATATGAGGTCTTAACATTTATTTTCAGTTTTGAATTACTATTCTTCGTTGCGAATTAACAATTAATGCATTTTTTAAAAGAAAAAAATATTCAAGATCAAACAATTTAGAGAAGATGGTCAATCATTTATTCCAAATTCCGAAAATTTAGTTCCCAATCATCTCAAAAAGGTTCAAAGAATGGAAATTGAAAAATTTAATATTGCCACTTTTCATATAACTAACAATGATATATTTTTCTACTTAGATACAATATTGATGTTTTCATGTCTCAATATGTCATGAATTAATTTAATAAATAAAAACTGTTATATACACACATATATATATATATACATGTTAGTATAATATTGATAAAAAACAATTTTTGGCCCCATTCTGGCTCCGTTACTGATTATGAGATTTTTAATATTTATTGCATTATGAGTTTGGTTCAAATTTTAACTTTAGTAAAGCCCTTTAAACAATTTTTCCTGCACTGTCTATGATTTCGTGGTGCATAAAAAACATAGATCCATCCCTCTTGTGCATTATTGTCTTAAACGCAAGTTTATTCTGTCATTATAACAGAATGCTTAAAGCATCACTAATCCAAATACTATTTTTGAAAAATTGAAGCCAAATACTATTAATCGCATGGTAGTTACAACTATTTACACATTGAAATTTTGTACAAGTAATATTTATGTCTTAGCAGTTATAGTTTATCATAGTACTGTTAAAAAGAAAATTATGCAGAATAATTTTACCGAAGCAAAATCGTTGGCAAATCTTCTTTTTAGTTAGTGTTTTTTTTTGTAGGAAAAAAAAAGTTTTCATAAATAGTTTGGCTCCGTTTATTTTATTGATTTAAATTTAAAATTTGAGTTTTATTACAGTAAAAAATTCTTAAAAATAATCACATTTAATTATTTTACTACAATAAAAAAATTTCACATAAAATTATATTTTAACTTAAATTAACAAACTAAACGAATTATTAATTGCGTGATTATCCCATTATAGACAGTAAAATAACGGGTCAAACAGACTGTCAAAGACAAAACAGCGCGAATATCGCAACTCGCGGGGCTCGGACCTCGGAGATGGAAGTGGCATTTTTGTAAATGTCTAAAATCATGCAACGTGGACCCCGCGATG